ACCTACCCCTCCCTTTCCTCTCTCTATTATCATTTCTACATTGTGAGAGCAAATAATTTTTATGACCCGCCTTGCCTGTTCGGTCATCCTAATCCTCACATTTCTTTCTTAGTTCTAAAGTTTAAATGTATTCAAAACTCGCTAACATTCCTAGTTATCTATTGGTCAGATGAAATTAATGATTATGATAGTATCTTCAAAAAAGACTCGGGAACAAGTCCCCACATTTTTGCATTTTCAAATCTGTCTTGAGCCTTTACACAGTAAAAACAATTTGCATAGCTATAACATTCTTAGTTCACATTTTCCTTGAAAATGCTAGTCTGTGAAATGTTGCTATAGAGAGAATTAAAGTAATGTTGATATTTTTCCCTAAATAAGTGATGTGATTTTTTGTTTGGCTGATCAAAGAATTAATCCTTTTTTTTTTTTTTTTTTGGATTGTATGAATAGTATTGGCTTTATTTTTTAAATTTATTTTATTGTTAAAAGTATTACAGATGTCCACTCCCTGCCCTCCACATTGACCCTCTCCACTCCCCCCCCTCAAGAATTATCTTATTTTTCAAATCTAACAACTTTAATAATATAAGTCTTAGTGCTAACCTTCTTGAGTCAATTTTTGTGACATTTGCATTAACATATTAAAATAAATCTCCATTTATTTTTGGATAATTTCCTTGAATTACATCTTCCAATATTTATTTTACTTTGCTTTTTCCTTAAGGGACTTCAATTATGCAGATGCTGGATCTGCTTGGTCTATGTATCTAATTATTTTCAGCTCATTTTTGTTTTATTTAATTAAATGTTATTATTCCTATCTCCCATGTTTCTTGTTGAGTTTTCTGCACTGTCTAGCATTTCCTGTTTTTCTTTCCAATTTTGTCTTCATTTCTGGGATAGTCTTAGTACTTTTTTCCTGAACCTACCAGCTCACACTGCATCTCATTCGTTGACCAGTCATTTTTCTTTCTTTTGATGTTGTATTTTATTTTTGTTGTCTCCCTCCAAAGAGTTACTGCTTTTTTAAAATTATTATTTATGGTGAAATATTTTATCACAATTTTCATTTGCCCTAATTTTTCTAGTAACACTATTTATGAATAAGGGTTACTATACATTCTTTTTCTTGTCTTTGATGCTATGTGTGTTCTTTCTTTACTACTCATCACTGAGGGAGGTGGATTTTCTCGACTAGCTCCTGATAGTACGAGGAGAAAGGAGGATGCTTTTGCAGTTTAGCTGCCACCAAGGTAGACTGGCTCCTGAAAAACTGCCTTCCACATGGTCTTCTGTGTACTTTCTCTACCTCTCTGAGTTAAACTGAGTCCAGGAGGACATCGGCCAGCCTCGCTCATCAGTTCCTGTACCTTGTGGTACAAACACTGTGGATAGAGCTTTTGTCTTAACTTCAAGAACTGTCTTTCTTGCTGGCTTTCCTGAAATCAACCCCCACTGGGCCCTCCATCCATACTTCATGCTTTTCATTTCCTGCTACTTGGCTTCTGCTCAGTCCCAACTGTTGTTTGTTAGCATTTATATATATTTTGCAATCTAAAGATATATATCTCCTAGTTTGCCAAAAATAAAGTGTGTGAGATTTTCCTTCTTTGTGTGTATGTATATATTTTTAGTGTTGTTTTTATTGTACTTTGTAAGTCCCCCCCCCCTTTTTAAATATCTTCACAGAAAAAAATAAAAATTGCTGACTTACAGAGATATTTTTATGCCAGAAATACCTAGGTTAATTTTAATAATCACAACCAGTACTGAGAGGGAAAAGCGAAGTAAAGAAAAGAGGATTAAGTATAATAGGTAAATGAGGGAGAACAAATTACAGGAAGTTTGCCTATCTATATATATAAAACCCTAATATACAAATAGGCAAAACCACCGAACAACCGGTCACTATGGTGTGTACTGACCACAAGGGGGCGCGTGCAGAACATGGCAGGCATCATCAGCAGAGTGTGGATCATGGTAGGCATTGGCCGTGCTGGGGTGGTGGAGCAGGTAAGCGGGGGTGCCAGACCAAGGCAGGGTGCCGGTCATTGACATGAGGGCTAGCCTCTGGTGGTTACTGAAAATTCTTTGCTCCTGCGCACCATAGTCTTGCCTGGTGCTTGCACCTGCTGCCAGCACCAACACCGTTTGCACACGCTGCCAGCACCTGGTGCCGACTCTGATCACTCAGCGCTGTCAGTCCCATCAATGGGTACGAGTGGCAGCTGCCAGCCCCGATCACCCCTCAGGGCCTCTCCACCTCCCTCTGCTCCTGAGTGGCAACCAGGGCTAGCAGCTGCCACTCGTACCCATTGACAGGACTGGTGCCATCCGTGCATGGGAGTGGTGGCAGTGGGAGTGGGGCTGCCAGCAAACAGGGGATGGGGGGCCATGGCAGAAGGGGCCGAGCAGGGGCTCAGAGGATGGGCCAAGACCTGCCCCTCTGCCCACCACAGCCTCATGGCCCACAGTTCCTTTGAAAGTGCACAGATTTGTGCACTGGGCCCCTAGAATATTTTAAAACAGCATAACATACCAAAAGTGGATTGTAATATGATTTCTCTGGATCATTAAAGTGGATTGTAATATGATTTCTCTAGATTTCTCTAGTTTCATAGGAAACATATATATTCTTCGCTCAATGGTTCAAGAATTGATGTGCTTAGAAAAGTGAGGCTGCTGGAATGCAGGAGAATTCCCAAAAGATATATTTATATATACACATACTTTGAATAGTTATATATTCCAACTAAAGTCCGGTGCACAAAAATCCATGCATTCTGGGGGGTCCCTCAGCCCCGCCTGTGCCCTCTTAAAGTCCAGGACCCCTCAGGGGGATTGGGCCTTAGCTGGCAGTCAGACATCCCTCTGGCAGCCAGGGAGCCTTTGGGGGATATCCAACTGATGGCTTAGTGCTGCTGCAGAGGTGGGAAAGGTTCCCACCACCACCACTGTGCTTGCAGCCATCAGCCCAGCTTGTGGCTGAGCGGAGCTCCCCCTGTGGGAGCACACTGAGCAGCAGGGGGCAGTCCTGTGTTGAGCGTCTGCCCCCTGGTGGTCAGTGCATGGCATAGCGACCGGTCATTCCTGGTAATTCTGTCAATTTGCCTGTTACCCTTTTATTATATAGGATGGGTTAAATCGGAAAAGAAAGAAACACTAACTGAGCTATGAGCTGTTAAAAGTGTGAATACGTTTTTGGGGACACCCTGTGTATAGTATATATCTTTGACCTGGAACCATCTTGTCAAGGGCAGAATGCTGGATGATCACTCAAACACATAAACATGTTCCAGCTCGCCAAGTCCTGCTACTTCCATGCTGCTCAACCTATTCCTTCCTCACATCACAAATAACACTGGAGAACTATAACAAATTCAAGGAAAAAACAGTTACGTACAACTTTTGCTGCATTTAACATGAGGCCTCTGCTTTAGTCATGGAAAAACTTCCAAAAGAATCACCTTGGAAAACTAAGAGAATATGATCATTAAAATTAGCTACAAACAAATATTCTCCAAAGCAGTGAACCTGTCTGCAAACTCCTTTAATTACCTTTACAGAGGAAATTTCCCCAGTAAGCATAAACAACATAAGGCAAGGGAATAAAATGTCCACGGCAGGATTTCTAAAGGGAGGCATACATTCAGGTAGAAAACTCATTAAAAAAAAATATGTTGTCATCTCATTAAGAAGTGAACCTGATATCTTCCTGCATAACTGCATATTTAGGGGCAAAAAAAAAGGTATTTCACTGCAGTAAACTGATAGGGTAAGTGAAAATGCAAGTGTTTTCTTAATATTTTCTTCCTTTAAAAACTGCATGACATGTGCCCTTTCTGGGTAAAATCTGGCAACCTAAGACGACCAAAAAAATTTCCCTAAAATTCCATTCATTCTTCTCTCTTTCCTAGCGGAGACATAAAAACAACACCTTCTGCTTCTTCCACTTTTCCAGGGAAAAGACCATTTTTAAAAGGACAGAGGGAAAAACCCTAGAGAATCTTGGCAGGAACAAAGACCATAAAATAAACAAAAATGTCTGAATATTTGAATTAACAGTATTAAGACAAGAGACAAATGACACAAATGGTCACCCACACAGATACCAAAAAAGGGAAAAAATTTGCTTAACACCGTCAAATCGCATCTTAAAAGCCCGAGTAAGTCTCCCAGGAAAATGAATGAGGGAACCAAGTATTACACAAACACACAAATTAACCATTTTATTCAAACATACACTATTTCTCACAGAATGATACACTTCTGTATTTCTCATTCTTTCTTTCTTTTTTTTTTTTTTTTGTCCATTTAAGAGTAAGATCAGAGAGATATGTAAGAGTAAGAGTAAAATATTTTGATGCTGTGATTTGCTTGATTTTTCATGGCCTTAGATTGAGGGTTTGGGACTTCTTTCTCCTCCTCCTTTGCTCTTAAGGAGAAAACAGCTGGAGGAGGGTGAGGCAATATTTCCCATCTATTCTCCTTCTTGTTCTCCTCTTCCCACTCCTACTTTGGACTTGAACTCTCAACAGAGTGACTATCTCTTCTATTTTCTGCACAGGAAATCTATGTGTCCTCCCTTCATCCACGCCACAGCTCCTCTGGCCTCCAAGGATTGCTTGCCTCATGTACCACAACCGCTAGAACATACGAACGATGCTATAAGCCATCGTTTTACATACTGTCTCACGTCACGTGAAATTAAAAAATGAGACACAGGGTTAGCCTAACCACTATCTAATTGACCCTGTTCTTCCCAGACAAGCTTCTGAAGTCGACCTGAGAGTAAACCAACTGGTCTCTCACGTTTACTCGATTTCTACCCATTTTGGCCTCGTCACGGTGCCGGTGGGCCTTCTGAGAGCACACCGTGCAGGGTGAGGACAGGCAAGAAACAGTTCGTTCTCAGGCCCAGGCGAGAAGGGACCGGATGATTTCAGCCTGAGAACTGCAGTCACGGCAATTCCCGCCCCGGGAAAGGAGAGCCGTACCTTTGTGATTGCGGTGAAGACCTTCTCCAGGATGGCATTGGGCTGGGCAACCTGGGGTCCACTGGTCTGAATGTTGAGGGCTATCGCACATGGTTTGGCTACAAACCTAAAAAAAAAAAAAAAAAAGACAAGTCATAAGCCATTCTTTCTATAGCTGCTTTTAATATCACCAGTTACACATTACTCAGTTTATCCCAAATAGCATTTTATAGATGGATATTGCCAACACTAAGGTTGGTAACTATAAAACTGACTTAACTGTCTTTCTCTTCCTTTGTCCTCCCAGCAGTCACAGTAAAAATAAAAAAATAAGTAAAATTTAAAGAAATCCTTTAATTATTTTTTTTGCAATTTATTACATTTTAAATTTTATTTTTACTGTTGAAAGTATTACAAATGTTTCCCTTTCCCCTACCAATGATCCCTTTTTCCCCACTCCACTGCCTCCCCAGACCTTTGCACACTATCGCCTGTCTCCATGGGTTACACATGGAAGTTCTTTGGTTAATATCTTCCCTTCCCCCACCTTTCCCTCTGAGATTTGCCAGTCTGTCCCATGTTTCCATATCGCTGGATCTATTTTGTAATCAGTTTATTTTGCTTATTAGATTCCACATATAAGTGAGATCACAAGATAGTTGTCTTTCTCTGACTGGCTTATTTTGTTTAGCATAATACTCTTCAGGTCCCTCTATGCTGTCTCAAAGGATAAGAGATCCTTCTTTCTTATAGCTGCATAGTATTCCATTGTTTAAATGTACCATAAAACATTTAAATCTCTTGATCCTTAAGTTCTAATAAGACTAAACAGATAGAAAGACTATCAAATGAAAAAATTAGTGTATAAGTGAAATATATAAACAAAACAAGCGTGATTTTGGAATGACATAATTTATAGCCTTCTTACTAAAACCTGACTAGCAATAGTCATATTTTGACTATGAGGAAGTGCTTACTGAGCATCTGATTACACATGTAGAGAGTGTGCTTTTGATTGTCCCAGTCATAAAATTGCCCAGTTTTATTTCTATAATCATAGTGTTCTATATTCAGCCTCAGTTCCTTATGGCTTCTTAAAATTTTTCACTTTTTGGTTATTTCCTTCTTTCTCATAAGAAGTAATGCAGATGTCAAACAGCATGATATCCCAGACAAGTTGAAAAGTCTGAATGATTGCAAGCCTCAACTGCACTGTTTTTATCCTAAGCAAATGCCTGAGTCAGGAATGGGAAGAAGGGCTTCAGTTCTGGCCATGCTTGATGTGTGAGTGCAGTATTGAAGGAGTGCGGGCAGAGGGCACGGGGCCCAAAGGTATGGTGACTAGTGTCTAAAACATTTTTAAAAAGAAAAAGCACAACATTAAGAGTTGTTTTGTATTAAATATTTAAGAAACAAGGCTCTGTAAATGTTCAGTGTGGCATTTAACATTTTCTACTAATATAAAATAATATCCTATATAATAAAAACCTAATATGCTAAGTGTCCAGTTGTCCGGTCTGTCATTCAACCAGTCAAAGCATAGTATGCTAATGATATGCTAAGACCGCTCAACCGCTTTCTATGACATGCACTGATCACCAGGAGGCAGACACTCCAACCAGTAGGTTAGCTTGCTGTTGGGGTCTGGCAGATCGGAACTGAGCAAGATGGGCCAGACACCCTCCTAGAGCTTTCCCATGATCCCTCCCTGGCTGGCCAAACTCCCATGTCCCTCCTTGACCCCAAGCGTGCATCGGTGGGGTCTTTTGGCCTGGCCTGCTCCCTCTCACAATCCAGGATCCCTCAGGGGATGTTGGAGAGCTGATTTCAACCCAATGGCAGAATGACCAGTTGCTATGACGTGCACTGACAACTTGCAAAAGCATTCGAAAAGGTGCTTTCAGTATCTATTGTACATCACCACGTTGTACACATCTCTTCTGTCATTTTTAAGCTTCAAACTACTTTTTAAAAGCTCTTCTCTAAATTTTGAGAACAAATGCAGTAGCATCTTAAAGGCAGCACATCCCCTGATCACCAAACATTACATTTTGATAATCAAAGTTACTGATTAAATATCATGCTCAGTAAATAGATTTTTAAAGCAGCGTCAAAAACTAAGTGAAAATCATCTCTGCTACTATCCGGCTGTGGAGCCCTACCTGCAGAAATTAATCTCCCTGTGCCTTAATATCCTCATATGTAAAAAATTATAATACTTACATAAATATATAAATTGTATGTATATCCAAACATATATTTACATATAATGTTAAACATGTAACATGTTTAAAAATAATGTCAGGCAGTGTCTTTGTCTAAAATCATTGATGGTAGCCATGTGTGTTTTCACATCATAGCATTTACATGGCAGGGCTTTTCTGGGCTTCAGCTAAGCTATGCCAACCCATGTGCATCCAACAAATCCTAAAAGTACCAAGAAAAAAAAAGAGGAGAGCAGGAACCAAGACAGGCAACTAAAAATGACAAGGGCATCATGGAGAGTAACCACTTGTCTCAAGCTTGTCCTCACAGTCTGCTTGTCCTTGCATCATTAACAATGGCAGCACCTTTACTGGCAAAAGCATCCCTGTTTGATATATTGCCACAATAGTTTTTTAAGTGTCTTCATGTGGAAAATAAATGGTAGTGATGACCATCCTCATGCTATCAGGGTCCTTGCTCATCTACACTTGGCCTTCTCTCAGGACCCAAAACTTCCAGCTCCCCTACCCACCCCCTGAGCCCTCTAGGGTACTGTGCCCACCCTTAGCACCGGGTAGTTGGTATGAACTTATGTAGACCTCATCCAAGTGTGTGGCCTCCATGAAAGCATGAAGGGCCTCAGTGAAAGTCCATGTTTCCAGAGCCTAGAACACAAACTCATTTAATCTCCCCTGGCCAGGTGAGGCAGGATGATCATCACCCCCACTTTGCAGAGAGGGCTGGAGAGATCCTCTGCCTCCAGGAGAAGGGGGGAGCAGAGGAGGGCATATTTCTTTCTCAGGAAGGTCAATGTTATTATCAACTCCCTGGCTGGATTTACTAGCCAGGCTAACTCCCAAAGTCTGAGGATATGGTAAGAAAAATGAAAGATAAGTTTAACAGGATCAATTTAAAGACTGAAGCACTTTACAGTTTAAATGGCTCCATGGTAGGGATGTACAATACATGAATTCTTTGAAGGAAGTTACTATGTTATAGAATATTTTCATGTGCATGCATAGTAAACTACGGACACCCAATAAATATTCGATGGATGAGTGAATGACCAAATCAACTAATTCAATGATAGGGATTGTCAAGGGATTATCTTTCCTGTGCATTTTTATTCCCTAGTCATTTGGGCCTAGATGCCATTTCTAAAATTCCGATTGACTCTAAAGTCAAGGCTGCCCTGCGACAAGAACTTGTGTTCCACAAACACCTCACCAAGCATTTTCTTTTCAACTTACTTAGTACAGACGACAAACACTTAATTTCCAAGATTTAAAATATTTCATAAGATAGGTAGAAAACATTAATTTCAAATCCCATATGAGAGGAAAGAACAGATGTAATTTTTATCTTCCTTATAGTACCCCTGATTATAGGAAAAGACAGAAATTTTATTTGTGTATATTCTCCAAATGACTTTTGAATCACTGCTAGCACTTTTCTTTACAAAAAGCATATCAGTCATAAAACACACACACACACACACACACACAAATAAATAAACAAAACAAAAACATGCACACACCAAGACACAACTACCTATTGTCATGGTCCATTAGAGAAAAGCTGGATATTTCCCCCTCAATGCTAGCTCAGACAGAAGTAAGTTCAGAAGAGCTGTCTTTCACAAGGCTGTCTTAAAAGACAGAGAGCGAGAAATTGGATGGTGGGGTAGAGTACCTACAAATACAATAGTTGAAAGAAAATATGTATTTTCAAGCTTTGAAGATTACCTCTACCTGGAAATGTCCACCCGATTACTTTTTTTTTTTTTTTTTATCAAAGGCAGCAATACCACCTTCAAAAGATCAAACATCTATAAAGTAGTTTCATGTAGTATAACATCCTTTTGAAAGTAAATACCATAAGGATGCAAGCTTTGAGGAACACTAGTCCCAATTTAAAGGCAAAGAAAGCACCTAATACATCCCTACTTTTAAATCCTATTGATAAGTATGCATTTCTATTGTTAACCAGGAATTGGGCATCGCCACACAGTATTGAGGTAAGCTCTGGGCTGTGGTGTGGCTATAAGCATACAGAAAACAGGAAGTGATTCTTGCACTCAAACACATTTACAACATAAGAAAGGAGATTAATAAGAAAATTAATGTTCACAGGGTATGTGTCAGTTCTAATGACTTAATACTATGTAATCATCTTTAGTTGGGAGCTTGTCCAGAGACTGTTAGCCCTTTCTAACACTAGCATTTCTTACACTTTTCAAAAATAATTGGACGACTATGGTATGAACACGTGAACATTAAAGGAGTAGAGAGAAGTGATTGATTCAATTTCTTGTCTGATTACCAGCACTTCCATACAACATTCATCAGCGATAGGAGGCCATGGCCACGGTCATAGTAAATATTAAAATTTTTAAACTTGCAAGAAAAGTATAGATTGGATTTTGAAAGCTAATATGTGGGTGCATGTTTAGATACACATGTGTGCATGTGCCTGAGTGAATAGGCATGAGTGTATGACTGTGTATTCTACAATCTTATCTAAGATTAAACTGTTTCAAAAAAACAAATAGTGGAAAGAAACCCAGATGGAAACAGCAAACCTGATACTTGTTAGTAGTTACTATTGTCGAGTGCTTTGGAGAATAAACTTTTTTGTAAAAAAGCCCAACAACTCTTTGAAGTAAATAAAAGTCCCATTTTACAGAATTATAAACTAAATTTCAAAGAAGTTAAGGGATCTGCTCAAGGTCTTAAAACTTAAAGTAAATAGCTTACACAGGATGTAGACCCAGTTAACCCTAACAGTCTATTCATAAAAACTGCATTTTCCCCTTTTCCTAAAATAATGAAAGATAAGTTAATGAAAGAAGTATTGTTAAAATATGTGTGATATGGTAATACACTTTAACTCAGCATTCCTACTTTCATGAATTTACTTAAG